TTCCCCCCTTTCCCCCCCTCCCTCTCCCTCCCTCTCTCTCTCTCCCTCTTTTTTTTTTTTTTTACACAGGGTTTGTCAAGGTTAAGGATCCCTAGCTTTATTGACAAGCAAATTTACAGGTTAAGGATTCCTAACTTTATTGGAAAGGGCTAAGAGCTGTTTACCTACATCACTCATTTGAAAGCATTTTTATTGTTATGAGACATACAAGTAGGGAACATGATGAAATTGGAGCCATCTGGGGGCCCAAAGCATTTTCATTTGATCAACTGACTTTATCTCATTGACATCATTATGCTGTACGAATGTGTTCCATATCGAGTCATCCTGGGTATATATGATCTCAGATGGAGTGATGTTCTGGAGAAGGGGTACAGCCAGAGTGAAGTTGCTGCTTTCTGCCGTCTGTGGCATAAAAGCTTGTTTCACCGGGTCCTCGAAGTGGATCCAAGTGTGGTATTTGACAATATTGGCCTTGTACATAACAGTAAGGCCACCTACATCCCCCTATGTTGAAGGCTCTGTTTGAAAATGGACAGATCTATCCAGGATGGGTCCAGGCAAGAGATGAGACGTCTTGCTCTGTTCTCTACTGTCAAGCAGTCACAGATGAGAGGGGGGGGGGAGCAGGCAAACCAAGAAAGTGGAGCATATTCAAGGTGTGAGCGTACTTGTGCCTCGTACAGAATCTTGCAACCCCTACTGTCAAGTAGATGCGAGATACAGCGAAGTGCTGTAAGCTTCCGGGCTGCCTTGTTTGCAAGATTTACAACATGGTTCTTCATGGTTAATTTTGAGTCAAATTTCACCCCAAGGATATCAACTTCTCCAGGTGCCAACACCCTCCCATTCATCCTTACTACTGCACCAGCATTACCATCTTTGGTCCCTAGAGACGATCATCATTTGCGTTTTCTCAGTGCAAGTGTTACTTGCCATCTATTTCCCCAAGCTGATATAGCTCTCAGTTTGGTGATTGATATAATTTAGAGCAGCTGGCATTTCTTCTTTTGGATAAGGAATGTCAGTGTGCAGTCGTCTGCATATCATGTGATTCTGGGATGAGATGAAGAAGTCGTTGAGTAGACATTCCATAAAAATGGTCCCAGCACGCTTCCTTGTGGAACACTTGCCCCAATAGGATGTCTTGCTGATTCATTCCATTGAGAACTACACTTAGAGATCTACCCATGAAGGTAACATGAGGGGACATACGTAGAGCCTGCAATTCCCAGTGCTTGAAGTTTTGCTAAGAGGCCCTGGGCCAACCCTTCGAAAGCGCCAGCAATGTCCAGTGCTACCACACAGCTGACTTTGGATTCATCCAGTGACTGGTGCCATTTAGTGGAGGGGTTTAACAACAGATCAGCAGCAGAGTAACCTTTCCTGAAGCCATATTGACAATCACAAAGTAGTGAGTGATAGTCAAAAAACGTCATTTGTCTTGAGATTATTGTCTCAAAATCTTACCCGTAATTTACAGGAGTGACACTGGTCTGTAGTTGCTGATTTCTGCTCTGCTCTTCTTTTTTTGAACAGGGGCTACATTTGCCTCTTTCCATAGAGAGGACCATTTTTCACTGTACTAGGCAGTGCTGAAAGATGCGAGTTAGAAGGCTTTTTAGCTGGTCTGCACATCTTCTCAGCAATCTTGGGCTCAATTGTCTGGGCCCCCCAGCCTTTTCTTGGTCAAGTGATTAAGAAGGAAATGCACCTCCTCCTGCCTTATTGTCACCCTGACAGTTTTGACACAGTTCTTGCAGCTAGCCAAGGAGGGTCCCTTGCTGGATCAGGAACTTGCATTTTGTAGCAAAGTGTTTCACAAAAAGGTCCACCTTCTGTTTGATTTAGAGGTGGAATGAGTTCATCAGGCAGATAACCTTGTCTGTCCTTGACCAGGGACCACCAAGTTTTGGAGCCTACCCACCTGAAGCTAGCTTTCTTTTAGTGTCCACCTCCCATTAGCAATGGCCCACTTTTGAACGTCACCCATATGCCTACAGGCTTGCCTGTGCAAGGTTTCCCGTTATAGGTGGTAGGATGTCTCTTATACCTTCGCCATGCTTTTGTACTTGCAGTTTGCAGCCTCTCTACAACGAATGCCAAACCAAGCTGTCTGTAGGCTTCGTCACATATTGCCGGTGAGGAATGTGTTCTTGTTGTAGATTAAGGATGTGTCCATGAAGGCTTTCACTTGGTTGTCAACATCCCCTTGGAGAAGAGCATTCCAATCAGTGGTGGCGAGCTCAGAGCGAAGGGCTGGCCAATTACCTCTTTCCCATAGCCAAGTTGTGCGTGTGGACTCCTCACTTCGTTCTGTTGGGATCTTAAGTGTCGTAAAAACAGCCTTGTGGTCAAACGATCCAACATAGCCGAGGGGTTGACAAGTGACTATGCCTTCTGCCAGATCACTCACTACTGGGTCAAGGGAGGAGCCAGAGATGTGAGTAGGGAAACAAACAAAGTTTCTCATGTCGAACACTGCAAGAAGGTCATCAAAGTCCCTCTGTATAAGGTGCTGGTTGAGGTCACCAACAATTATGATATGTTGACAGTTGTGTTGTAGCAGAAGGGAGTCAATATTTTCCATTAGGAAGTTGATGGGGTCTGCATGTTGCCACTGAGGTCTGTACATTGCACATGCTAGTACAGAGGTACTAGTGTTTATACAGAGCTTGAAGAACATCATTTCAAGATGTGTTGGGGTGGCAACATCAATGTGCTGGGCATGAACACTTTTAGAGAAGCACACAGCAACACCTCCTCCTTACCCTTGCCTGTCTCTTCTCATCCATGAGGTTGTAGCCGGGCAATTCTTGCAAAATTTTCTGGAGTCCTGTCATCCAAAAATGTTTCACAACAGCTATCATGTCGGGACGTTGAGTGTTCACAAAACTGTGAGAGCTCTCCAACTCAGTAATGAAACCTCAATGTTGGCTGACAGGATGCTGATAGACTGGCTCCTCATGATGATGTGGTCACTTGAGGTGGTGGTGTGTAGGGCTGTAAGGTGTCTGCCCTTGAGAGGTAGGGTATGAGCAGCTGCAGGATGTAGGTCTTGGTCTTGTATAAGGCACAATACCACTGCTGGGCTGGGATAGTAGTAGTTGAGTGGGTGACATGTGGTGTCACCAATTCAGAGATCCTGCTGGTTGTTCTGCGACAGGTCTCTAAACAGGTGGTCCTGTCTGTCAAGTTCCTTTTCTTCGACACTTGTCCTCCTGATGTGGTTTCTTGTAGCGTATTGCACTAGTATCTCGAGTGCAGTTGTTGGCATGTACCCCTTCGGTGACAGCGAGAGCACAGCCTAGGTGCCTGGAGGTGGACTATGATTGTTGCACCTCCTGTCTGTCTCTCTGTCTCTTCTCCTCTTTTGTTGTCTTCTCTGTCTATTGCCTGTCTTGTCTCTGTCTCTGTCTCTGCTTGTCTCTCTCTGTCTCTCTTTCTTTCTTTCTCTTTCTCTTTCTCTTTCTCTTTCTTTCTCTCTTTCCTCTTCTTCTTTTCCTTTCTTCTCTTTCTTTCTCTTTTCTTTCTTCTTTCTTTCTCTTTCTTTTCTCTTTCTTTCTTTCTTTCTCTCTTTCTTTCTCTCTTTCTTTCTCTCTTCTCTCTTTCTTTCTCTTTCTTTCTCTCTTTCCATCTTTCTTCTCTCTCTCTTTCTCTCTCTCTTTCTCTTTCTCTCTTTCTCTCTTTCTCTCTCTTCTCTTCTCTCTCTCCTCTCTTTCTCTCTTTCTCTCTCTCCTTTCTTCTCTCTCTCTCTTCTTTCTCTCTCTTTCTCCTCTCTCCTCCTTCTCTTCTCTCTTTCTCTCTCTCTTTCTCTTTCTCTCTTTCTCTCTCCTCTTTCTCTCTCTCTTTTCTCTCTTCTTCTCTCTTCTTTCTCTCTCTCTTTCTCTCTCTCTTTCTCTCTCTTTCTCTCTCTTTCTCTCTCTCTTTCTCTCTCTCTTCTCTCTCTTCTCTCTCTCTTCTCTCTCTCTTCTCTCTCTCTCTCCTCTCTCTCTCTTTTTCTCTCTCTTTCTCTCTCTTCTCTCTCTTTCTCTTTTCTCTCTTTTTCCCCTCTTTCTCTCTTCTTCTCTTTCTCTCTCTTTTCTCTCTCTCTCTCTCTCTCTCTCCTCTCTCTCTCTTTCTCTCTCTTTCTCTTTCTCTCCCTCTCTCATTTTTTTTTCCACATTGCTGTCTACCATCTCATAAAGGCGTACATATATAGCTGGTAATGACATTGGCATCTTCGAGAAATTAAGTTTCCATGTTAAATATTTAACCGACCTCCATTATTTAATGCCTGCTGTGCCATAAGGACTCCTTTAAACTGATCATAGTTACTGTATCAAAACTAAAAATAAAATATATTGAAAAACTGCAGGTTTGGTATCAGTATCATTCTAAAATTGAGTATCAGTGTTGGTGCCATTTTTGGTATCGTCTCATCACTAATAAGAGGAAAGATTAGTCTTTGTATTGTAATTTAGTTATTAGAATAAACTAATACTCATGTTAATGAAGTCAGTGAAATTTGAAAGAAAAGATTGATCCAATAGTACAATATTTGAAATAAGCAAAAAATTTTAAGTAATTATTAGAAAAACTTGTATCAGTAAGTTAGAAATAGATTTGTAATAGCCAGAAGTAATTGAGCTAACCGGAGAAGAAGCACAGAAATTAATATTAGTTCAAAACTAATTAGGCCGGTGTGTGGTGGATAATGGAAAGTATTGGTGGATGATGGAAAACTAATTAGACAGAACAGACAAAAGAAGCTGCTAGGTAGGCCTAGACAAACTGCAGAAATAATAAATCTTATTTAAACTGGATAATTTACATTACTTTTATTGGTTATATCAGAATATATTTTTTTCAGGAATCATTCATTCCGATCTGAAACCTGCCAATTTCCTCTTGGTCGATGGAACTGTAAAACTAATTGATTTTGGAATAGCTTCTTCCATCCAGCAGGACATGACCAGTGTTGTTAAGGAGAATCAGGTAAGACAGTCTGAGCTTTGAGCTAGCTACATCTGTTTGAATTTTGTCTCTACTGTAGATAGTAAAGAATAAAGATAGAGGTGGGCCCTGCTTACATAGTTGGTTAGGTCCTGGGCTACTGCTGTAAAGCAAAAATCATTGTAAAGTGAGATAGCCATTTTTCACTCTCAGATGCATATAAAAACCTAATAACATGTTTACACTATTATATATTAATTGATCAGTAGAGCCAGGCCTAAAAAATGCACATACAGCACACACATTACTTGTCTTAAAATATTCTCGTCCTTAGCCTATAGCAAGTGGTAAATAAATTTATTGTAGGAAGTCTGAGTAAATGAAGAATAGGTACAATTGAAAATTGCTACGTTAGCAAAACGCTGTAAAATGAAGTGATGTAAAGCAGGGCCTGCTTATGCTCATCAAAACTTTGGAGTCCAGTCCCTGGACCAATTATGTACCTCTGTAACCTTTTGACTACTGCCCACAGGATGGGTATGGGGTGCATAATAAACATGTTAAACTAACTAACTGCTTGTAATGTCTGTTGGTGCGATATGCAACTTTAATATGTTAGGAATTGAAAATGCCTAGAATGTAAATGTTAGAATCTTTGACAAAATTATTTAATATTCTCTCTAGGGAGGAACTTTCAATTACATGAGCCCCGAATCCCTGATGGACGTCCAAACTGGCCCAATCGTCAATGGCCGGAGCACTGACACTTCAACCATCAAAGTAAGCTTGGGTGCTAAATTTTCTTGAAATTTATTTCCAGTCTTGCATGCCTTTTTATGGTGGATACTTCTTACCTGACCTGAAGGGATGTTAACTAGTGAGCATATATGATAGGAAAACCATTATTTTGTTTAGTTTTATTAGCAAGATTGATAGAAAAAGTTGTACAGGTACAACACCAATTTTCCAGCAATGGATAGTCCAGCACTTCTTTTAGTCCACACAAAATTATGAGACTAATTTTTTGTGCAATATGCACTTGCTTACATTGCAATTAGTGGTGATCCCTTGATTTTTGTGTGATTTTTGGTGTGTTTTGCTAACAGTTAACTTTAGCTATGATAAGGGTAATTTATCAATAGCTATGACTATTGACAAGTTAATTGTTAGATGAATTAATTAAATGGCTAGAACAATGTTCCTCTGTGACAGAATAAGAGTTAATTCTTATTTGATGTATGAAAAATTACAAGGGAAAAGATCAAAGCACAATGAAGTAACTTTGCTTGGATGAAATATTTAAAATGGTAATAAAGATGTCATTAGCTGAAAATCCTGTGGCTTCAACCTTAAGTAACCCGGATGTCTTCCCTGTAACATCACAAATCCATGATGAGACAGCCATCAATGAAACACACTTATTCTGACAACCTTCTACTTCCAGGCCTTTGTGATTAGATCTACAGTTCTAGTAAAATTCTGAAATTTACCACTCTGGGGGTGATAGCACTGCACCATTGAAGTACAGTCTGAGGCAGATCTATGAAACTAACGAAACTTAAGCTTCAGGGCCCCTGTTTCTGGAGGGGCCCCAGAAGTGACTCTAGTCCACATTACTTAAAAATTTTGGGTCTACTGGTTACAAAGGGGCCCTATAAGTTTAAGCTTCATGGTTCCGAAAATGTAGTTTCCCCAATGAGTACAGTAATTAATAAACCTGTTTCATATATACTGATGTTTAAGTTAAATTTTCAGCAGACTATGGTGAGTCAGAGGTGTATTAACCCTTTCAGGGTCGGCAGGACCTCTCCCAAGCTTGTTCTCAGGGTTAGAAAATATTTGAAAAAAAAAAAAATTAATTTTTCTTATGAAAAGATAGTTTTTTTTTTTTTTGTTTCTAAATTTTCTAGACAAAAAAAAATTTTGCCATCAATACTTACCGAGATATAGAGGCGTGAAGTTGACAGAAATTGACCCGCATATGGCAAGATCGCTGAATGCCGGTCACCTGGTAATCATTTATTTTGTTTTTTCTACCTTTTTCTATTATTTTTTAATTTTTTTTTCTTTTCAAGTAACTTTTGTGGCCTGTGAGACCAACATGACTATTTTGTAAATATTCACTCTTTCTATACTACACAATCACTGCACAAACACTGTTGTCATTACAGTGGACCCCCGAGTTTCGTGATTAATCCGTTCCAGAGAGCCCGCCGAAGGTCGAAATTCACGAAACTCAAACCCATTTTCCCCATAAGAAATAATGGAAATAAAATTAATCAGTTCCAGACACCCAAAAATATTAAAATAAAATATTTTTTTTTCAAATTAAATAAAGATTTACATAATGAAAACAAACAGAAATCAAGTACATGCATTTAAAATAAATAATAACAACATTACACTTACCTTTACTGAAGACTTCTGGGTGGATGGAAGATGGGAGGAGGTGATAGGAGGAAGGTGTACACTTGTTTGGAAGGAAAATCTCCTTCCATTAGGACTTTAGGTAGCAAGTCCTTATCTGGGGTTACTTCCCTTCTTCTTTTAATGCCACTGGGAACAACTTGAGTCACTGGACCCCTGGCACACAAAATATCTATCCAGAGAGGTCTTTTTCTGGCATTTCTTTAAGATTTCCCTGAAGTGGGACACAACACTGTCATTGTACATGTTGCAGATACAGCTTGTTTCAGCTTGGTCAGGGTGATACTTTTCAACAAAACTTTGCAACTCATTCCACATTCCACACATGTCCTTAATCACTGAAGAAGGCACCTCGTCCACTCCCTCTTCCTCCTCCTCTGAAGCAAGTTCCTCGGCTGTGGTCTGATGCTGTTCCAGTTGAAGCTCTTGCAGTTCGTCAGTGGTTAGCTCTTCCCTGTGGTCCTCCACCAACTCTTCCACATCCCTGTCACTCACTTTATTTACCAAAGGGCTTGCACTAGCTTTCCTAGGGTCCATGATGACTTATTTAGCAGTTGCAAGCACAAAAAACAATGGATTAGTATTATGAAATGTATTGTATGAACCCGCGGGGTGATGGTCACGTGTTGGTAAACAGTGGCACACTGAGCATGAATGGCATGGTGTGGTAGACTGGCTTTGTGTGCATGGTGACGAGCGGACGGGTACCGGACGGTCGCCGAAACATGAGTTTTTTCACGAAACTCGAGGCCAAATTTTTCTCCAAAAAATCGCCGAAGGTAGAATTTCGCGAAAGTCGAGGCTGCCGAAACTCGGGGGGGGGGGGGGGTCCACTGTAGTATATTGTTTACAAAACATGTTTACACAAATGAACAAAATAAAATGTTTATTACAATTTTTCTATATTATATATACATACATAGTCACTGGACATGTTCCTAGAAGTTCTGCAGCCTGTGGAAGTCTTTGAAACACGATGTCATGTACAGTGGTATTTTACATTCCTCACACATAAAACGAGTAAGTGTCTGCTTTGTTGTGGGCGTATTTTTGTATGTGCACAGACGTAACACCTCTTCTGAGCCTTTTTCTTGAAAGCAGTAGCAGGCAGTTTCATTAGGAAGTGATCAACATGCTTGAGACGAGAAGGTAGTTGTTGATAATTTTGTGGGCGGTTTTCCATTGGAGGTGTTGTTCCTTGTTACTTGATTATTATTTGTCTGATGACAGACAAACAAAATTTGCCATATGGTGGTTTGTTTCTGGTCCTCATCTTATACATATTATAAACATTGAGCATGGAAATGTCCAGAAGATGGAAGAGTTTTATGTACCACTTATAACTCTTGCAAACACAATCAGCAAACCCAATCTGCATGTCACATTTGTCCACTGAACGCACATTGTGGGTGTAGTCAATCACAGCTGCAGATTTTAGAATGGGTTCATTGCTCTTTCTATGCTGCCTGCCAGTGTCTGCCATTTCGTTACGGTGAACTGATGACAACAGTGTGACATATCGTTTGTCATGCCACAGAAATACCATGATGTCATTGGCAAAAAACGCCTGCACCTCACCTGAGGCACATATATTAACGATTTCCATGCACTGTGCCACACACATCTGTCATGTTCACTCGCAAGAAATCACTGAGTAAGGGGCTTGTGTACCAGTTATCAGTACAGTGGACCCCCGCATAGCGAACGCCTTGCATAGCGAACATTCCGCATAGCGAACGCTTTGATCGCTAAAATTTTGCCCCGCATAGTAGACAAAAACCCGCTCAGCGAACTTCGTCCGAGACGAGTCCAATGTGCGGCCTCAGCCAGCCTCACATGTGCCGCCTGTCCCATTGTTTACCAGCTAGCCTCCGCGGTAACATTCAAGCATACACTCGGAATATTTCGTATTATTACAGTGTTTTCGGTTCTGTTTGTTGAAAATAAGTGACCATGGGCCCCAAGAAAGCTTCTAGTGCCAACCCTGTGGTAAAAAGGGTGAGAATTAGTATGGAAATTAAGAAAGATTTTGAAGGGTTTGGGGCTAACCCTGAGAAGCCTATGCCAGTTGTGGAATCCATTTCAATGACAATGTTATGGCCCATTTTAGACAAATCGTAAAGGAACGGGAGGTACAGAGCTCTATGGACAGAAAGAAGTCCAGTGACTCTGAAGCTGGTCCTAGTGGCATTAAAAGAAGAAGGGAAGTAACCCCGGAAAAGGACTTGCCTCCTCAAGTGTTAATGGAAGGGGATTCCCCTTCTAAACACTAACACTCTCTCTCCCCTCCTCCCATCCCATCAATCATCACCAGATCTTCAATAAAAGTAAGTGTCATGTAATTGTGCATGCCTTTTTCAGTTTGTGTGTACTAAAATTAACATTTTTTGTGGTTAAAAATTTTTTTTTCATACTTTTGGGTGTCTTGCACGGATTAATTTTATTTCCATTATTTCTTATGGGGAAAATTAATTCGCATAGCGAACATTTCGCATAACGACCAGCCCTCTTGCACGGATTAAGTTCGCTATGCGGGGGTCCACTGTATATAATACTATATGCTCCTTACCAAGATATGGTTCCATCATTGTTCTAACCACATCACCAGAGATACCCAGTAGCTTCCTGGTATCTCGCAATGTATTACTTCCAGTGTACACAAATATATCCAATTCAAGACCACTGTAGCAATCACAAGCACAAACAACTTTATACCAAAGCGTTTCCTCTTGCTTGGTATGTACTGCTTGAATGACAGTCTTCCTTTGAACAGAATCAGAGACTCATCAATAACAAGCTTCCTGAAGGGATACAAATACATGTTGAATTTCTGTTTCAGATACACAAACACATTCCTAATCTTACATAACCTGTCGTTTCTGTCAGGCCTAGTTTTGTCTGGGATGTGAAGCATACGTAATAGTAGCACAAATTGACTTACTCCTATTATATCATTGAAACCTGGGGTTGCAATTAGGCAGTCTGTTGACCAGTATTATTTGACACTGTGCTTATACACATGTGGCATAAGCATTATTGTGGCAAAGAAAAGATACATCTCAGCCACAGTTGTCTCCTTCCATTGGTGTAGGTGTGATTTTGGCGAAAGTATTGTGTTTGTCATGGTGTAATCGAAGTATATGTTGCTTTCCCTGACAATAATTTCAATCGGGTTCGTCAACGAATAACTCGAAACATTCCAGTTCAGTGGCATTGTTCCCAAGATGGCCATATTCCACTTTGACTTTCATCAAAGTGATGGGGATTGGGAACAAAATTGGCAGCTTCCTGCCAATAATCCCAGGTGCGGTCTGCTGGTGGGTTCTGGATACTGACAGGTGGTTGTGGTTGGA